GTCAGAACCACCCAAACTGTTTGATAATAATTAATACTTGTTGTTAAGATCAGACTACGTTGTTTGGTTTGTCGAAATGATCCCAAACTTAAGTCAGCTTGCCGCTCTTGGAGCTGGAATAAAAATAAAAAAGAATCCAAGCATGACTATATTGGTTGATTTGGGATTTTCAATGCTAAACATTTTGGATCGATTATTTGGAGAATTCTCTCACTGGTTAGGCCCTAACAATTACAGACGATTCATTAAAAATGTTCTATAAAAAGAAAATACATCGAAAATTTTCTATAAAAAGAAACAATTTCTACAAAAAGAAAATTCATCTAGAATTTGCTTTAAATTCAAAAATCTTCGAAATTTTTCCTAAAATAAGATTTCCATCCGAGATACTGATACTGTCCGTAAATAGATATTAAAATTTTCAAATGAATTTCTACTCACCAATTTTAGAGCGCCAGTTAAAGAACCATTCTGAAGGACCACTCCACGTTTGCTGTCATTAGGCGGTACAATAACATCCAGGGAAAAATTTAACTTCTTCGCTAATTCCAATAAAAGTTTGCCCTCAAAACCACCCGATACATAGGTAACATTATTAGCATCCTGCGATAAGTACACATAAGGTGGAACATGCCAAAGAGCTGCACGCAAGGGACAACCGTAGAGATTTTTTAATTTCTTGGGAAATAAATCCTCATGTATCAAAGAAGTTCCATTATATTCATTCACTAAAGCGATCTGAACTTCATCACAATGACTTTCGGTAAACGGAAAATAAGTGTAAATTAAAACTCGTCCATTAGCTTTCTGTACTTGAATAATACAATTGATAAGATAATGCTGCCAACAATATTCGAATATTTTTTTCATTTCACCTAACACTAAATTATCACGAGTTTGTAGAAAAATAAAATAATATTCATTGCTATTCGAATCGGCGCTATAAGTATGTATTTCCGTTTCCCTGAAAATTTAAATATTACGTTACATTATGTAATTTAAAAATAGTCTTCAGTTTTTTAACTTACAAAAATGCCTTATAGGAATCCGTAAAAATCATATTGTATTGCCGATCTCCTGGTATTTTTCTATAATCATTATTATTCACAATAACTATTTGCAAAGGCCATTCATTCCATTCGGCAAACATTTTATGGAACATATCATTATAAAAGTTACACGTATGATTATTGCGACAGCAAAGGGTCAACACAAAATAACTGGACCAATTCGTAAAATAATGTCCAATAATATAGAGTAGACCGGCTGCTACAAATTTATTTATATGATTATATTGTTCACCCGATTTAGCGTGATAATCGTAATACAAAGCGCTTATGTTCATTTTGCTTGCGATGCACTTTCAACTCTGAATGAAGTTTTACAATTTCTATACGTTTTTATTAGTATAACTTACATGACTTATGATTAATGATAGTTTTAAGTACTTCTTGAAAATAAATAGTAATAAAACTTTTCAAAGAAAAGTTTTAGTAATTATTTAGTAAAATATACTTTCGAATAAACTTTTTAGATTTTGTTTGTATTAAAGGTCAATATCACTTTCACTGGATTATTCAAAACGTAACACAAAATTCATTAGAATACGAGTATTATGCAAGTAAGTTATACCGATATCAACCCCCTTTTTAGGAAAATTTAACAGTATAATATAATTTAAGCATAATTAAAGGTTATAGACAATGTTATATAAAGAGAGAAATTTAAAAAACAAGTAACAAAGTATAGTCGGGCGTGGCCGACCATATGATACCCTACACCAGTTATGAATATTAAATGTGATTTATTTTTCATAATAAAGCATTTATCTTCAATATTCCCTTGTTCCGATACATTTAAGCAATTTATGGACGAAAAACTAATTTTCTGAAAGAGGCTTTATATGGGGGCTAGGGGCAAATATGGACCAAGCCCGATAAAATTTTGTGAATATATTTATATTTACATAATATTTTATTGTGCTGAATTTCATCGCGATATTTGTGTTTATAAGTTAATTTGGGACATTCAAGTAATTTTCTGAAGGGGACTTTGTATGGGAGCTAGGGTCAAATGGGGCCCGATCTTTATGAAATTTGGCAGGGTCATCAAGACTTCTATAAAACTTAGTTGTGCCGTATTTTATCGATATATCTGTATATTTAACATAATTATGAGCTCAGAAGCCCTTTTCGGGGGGTTTTGTTCTATGGGGGCTAGGTGAAATAATGGACCGATTTTAACCATTTTCAATAGGCTTCGTCCTTGGGTCAAATAAAACGTGCGTGCCAAATTTCATCCAATTATCTCGAAAATTGCGACCTGTACCTTGCGCACAAGGTTTACATGGACAGCCAGCCAGCCAGCCAGCCGGCCAGACGGACGGACGGACATAGCTTAATCGACTCAGAAAACGATTCTAAGCCGATTGGTATACTTTAAGGTGGGTCTAGGACGAATATTTTTGTATGTTACAAACATCAGCACAAATCCAATATACCCTCCCCACTAAAGTGGTGTAGGGTATAAAAATCTTCAAAAATTTGTTTAATACACAATTCATCAATTTATACAAATAGAAATAAATTTTCTATAAAATGAAAATTAATAATAAAAATTTCTAAAAAAAAGAAAATCTATAAAAATTAAATTCACACAAAAATTATATAAAACGAAATTAAAAAAAAAAAACAATTTTTTCGAAAATTGTTGTATAAAAAAAATCAAAAAATTTTCTATAAAAAAAAAATTTTCTTTAAAAAAAATTAATTTTCTATAAAAGGAAAATTTATCAAAAATTGTTTATAACAGGAAAATTTATCGAAGATTATCTATAAAAGAAAAATTTAGCGAAAATTGTCTATAAAAGGAAAATTTATCGAAAATTTTCTATAAAAGGAAAATTTATTGAAAATTGTCTATAAAAGGAAAATTTATTGAAAATTGTCTGTAAAAGGAAAATTTATTGAAAATTGTCTATAAAAGGAAAATTTATTGAAAATTTTCTATAAAAAGAAAATTTATTGAAAATTTTCTATAAAAGGAAAATTTATCGAAAATTTTCTATAAAAGGAAAATTCATCGAAAATTTTCTATAAGGAAAATTCATCGAAAATTTTCTATAAAAGGAAAATTCATCGAAAATTTTCTATAAAAGGGAAATTCATCGAAAATTTTCTATAAAAGGAAAATTCATCGAAAATTTTCTATAAAAGGAAAATTCATCGAAAATTTTCTATAAAAGGAAAATTCATCGAAAATTTTCTATAAAAGGAAAATTCATCGAAAATTTTCTATAAAAGGAAAATTCATCGAAAATTTTCTATAAAAGGAAAATTCATCGAAAATTTTCTATAAAAGGAAAATTCATCGAAAATTTTCTATAAAAGGAAAATTCATAGAAAATTGTCTATAAAAGGAAAATTCATAGAAAATTGTCTATAAAAGGAAAATTCATAGAAAATTTTCTATAAAAGGAAAATTCATAGAAAATTTTCTATAAAAGGAAAATTCATCGAAAATTTTCTATAAAAGGAAAATTTATAGAAAATTTTCTATAAAAGGAAAATTCATCGAAAATTTTCTATAAAAGGAAAATTCATCGAAAATTTTCTATAAAAGGAAAACTCATCGAAAATTTTCTATAAAAGGAAAACTCATCGAAAATTTTCTATAAAAGGAAAACTCATCGAAAATTTTCTATAAAAGGAAAACTCATCGAAAATTTTCTATAAAAGGAGAAGTTATCGAAAATTTTTCATAAAAGGAAAATTTATTGAAAATGTTCTATAGAAGGAAAATTTATTGAAAATGTTCTATAAAAACAAAATATATCGAAAATGTTCTCTAAGAAAAAAAAAAAAAAATATCGAAAATGCTAAATAGAAAATTTATCGAAAATTTTCTATAAAAAAAAATTTATCGATAATTGTCTTTTAAAGGAAAATGTATCGAAAATTGTGTATAAAAAAAATTTATGGAAAATTTTCTATAAAAAAATTAATAAAATTTATCGAAAATTTTCTATAAAAGTAAAATTTATCGAAAATTTTCTATAAAAGTAAAATTTATCGAAAATTTTCTATAAAAGGAAAATTTATCGAAAATTTTCTATAAAAGGAAATTTTATTGAAAATGTTCTATAGAAGGAAAATTTATTGAAAATGTTCTATAAAAACAAAATATATCGAAAATGTTCTCTAAGAAAAAAAAAATATATCGAAAATGCTAAATAGAAAATTTATCGAAAATTTTCTATAAAAAAAAAATTTATCAAAAATTTTTTTATAAAAAAGAAAATATATCGAAAATTTTCTATAAAAAAAGAAAATTTTTTTATAAAAAACGAAAATTTATCGAAAATTTTCTATAAAAAAGAAAATTTATCGAAAATTTTCTATAAAAAAAGAAAATTTATCGAAAATTTTCTATAAAAAAAGAAAATTTATCGAAAATTTTCTACAAAAAAAAAAGAAAATTTATCGAAAATTTTCTACAAAAAAAAAAGAAAATTTGTCGAAAATTTTCTACAAAAAAAAAGAAAATTTATCGAAAATTTTCTATAAAACTAAAATTTCTCGCAAATTTTCTATAAAATCAAAATTTCACTCAAATTTTCTATAAAACGAAAATTTCTCGAAAATTTTCTATAAAAAATACTAAAAATTCTCCATTAATAGCAAATTCGCCAAAAAAATTACTATAAATTAAAAAGCGTTATTTTTAATAACATGTAATAGGTCAAGTGGATTCAGAAAAATAATACAAAATAACGAACAACCACAATTAGTAATTTTAAGTAAACATTATATCAAGGTTAACAAATAAAAAAACTAGTTGTTTGCCCATTCTTGCACCGATAAATATTTTATAACTTTATTTAGACATTAACAATGTCAACATTTTAATTAGTAACTAATTAAATTAAAACAACAATCAACTACTGTTTCACTACATTTAAAGAATCACACAAAATCAGTTTCGTTTTACAGTCTAACGCCATGAACGTTTCGATATTTCAAGACGCAAATATTAGACGTATCGGAGTTTTAGCTCAACCCGAATACATAAATGTATTTGTGGCCAATGCTCTACGTTTTGTTATACAAAATGTTTTTGCTAATATTACCAATGATTTTGTCTTTACATTATCAACCGGTGGAGGTCTGGTGGGATTTTGGTTTAATGATATAATGACCAAATTATTTGCAACTTGGGGTTTTATGGCCGTACAGCTGGTAATTTTGGATAAAAGGACTAAATATATGGAGGTGCCGGGAAAACGTTATTGTAATATGATTGTGATAGATTCGTTCAGAAGTCTGGAGAAGACACATATTGCGGAATACAATAAAAATTCTGATGGTTTGGAGTATTATTTTATATTTCTACAGATACGTGATAAATTACTTGAAAGGGAAATGCAAATGATTTTTAGATATTGTTTTGATAACTATTGGATACATTGCAATATTATGGTGCAAACGGCAAGAGGAGAAATATTTATTTACACTTATTTTCCTTTTAAGGAAAATAACTGTTTTCAGACACAACCGGAAGTTATAAATAAATTTATAGGCGAACGTTTCGAGAACGATGTAATGTTTCCAAATAAATTAAGAAATTTTAACAAATGTCCTTTGAAATTAACCACTTGGGATATACCACCGTTTGTAATTAATGGAACGGGATTTCAAGAAACGGATCGTGAAATAAACGGTTTTGAAATAATTATAATGATTGCTATAAGTAAAAAATTAAATTTTACTTTGGATATAGATATGATTTCCATAGATAACTATCATATGAATCAAACTCCAGCAATTATACCTATGAGAATGGTGAGTGGTAATGCAATTCAATCTAAAACAATTCAAACTTTAAATCTCTTTTATTTTAGCTCAAAAATCGTGAGACCAACATAACTATGGGTTATTTTCGACGTACAGCTTTAAGAGATCAACTTGCTACACCCAGTTATGTCACATACTATTTGCCTTTTGTAGCTGTAATGCTGCGTAGACAAACTCAATTTCAGTCTATGGGAATGTTGACATTTCCTTTCGATAAAATCACTTGGATTTTGATAATAGTGATTTATTTGTTAATTGTTTTAATGAACTGGTTAAATGTTAAAAATCGAATAGTACAAAATTTTCAAATACATCAAGTCTTTATGGGTATGCCTATAAAAAATACCCCCAAGGAAAGCTCAAAAAGAGTACGTTTAATGGTTATGCTTGTTACCTCATTCATTTTACGTTCCGTCTATCAGTCGCTACTTTTCCATCTATTTCGTACCCATTTCTATGAGTTACCGCCCGTAACTCTAGATGGCTTAGTAGCCCAAGGCTATAAAGCAGTTTGTTCTGCTATGTCGTTAAATTTCATAGTAAACGTACCACAAATTCAGGACAGGTCACTGCCTTTATATGTCATCCACAGTACCAATGAAATGTATCCCTTGTATTTTTTAGAAGTTAATCAAGATCAAAATTTCGTAGCCATGTCTATTTTCGAATTCACTTTATTCTACGCTCTCGGTATATTATCTCGGCATAATGCCTTGCAGATCTTACCCATTAATGTAAATGAACAGCAGATTGGTTTCTATTTCGTGAAGCATTCGTATTTGGTGGATCAATTTAATAATTACATTTTATATTTTCAACAAGCTGGTCTCTTGCAGAAATGGAAAGAATGGTCTAATATGGAACATCTAGTGAGTCAACAGAATGGTCATTCAACCTCTTATGAAAATGTTTTCATGGTTAATTTGAAACAACTGCTGGGATTTTTCTACGTAGTGCTAATGATGCACTCGGTAGCGTTTGCAGTTTTTGCTCTGGAATTATTGTCAAAGAAAATTAAGTGGTTACAAAGGATTTTTTAGAATTAATAATGAAGTTATGTTTATTATAAAGTTATAATGAAATTTTAAAATTAAATTAAAACAAAATACTTTTTGACAGATAATAAACTTATTTAAAACAGGATCCAGGAACACTACAAAATGATTAAAGGTTTAATAATTTCGAAGCTATAGCTCTCTTTAAAAATTCTTGAATTATTATCACTCATTTTGGAATCAAAACCACGTCTTCATATACATCATTGTTATATTTAATGAGTTAGTACGAATATTTAATGAATATTTAAAATTACCGAATCATTCCAAATAATGATAAAAATTTTATTCAAATTATTTAAAAAATATTTACATACTTGAAAATATTTCTAGCACTTTCTAGTTATTTGTAACAAATTATTAGAAATTGCAGAAATATGTGGAAAACCATATTTTTCAGTTTAAGATCACATATAATTGGGTTTCAGATTGCAATGAAAATGAAATTAATAAGTACCGTAGTTGGTAATGTTGTTGCCCGAAGGCTGTGGGTACGATTCATACCTGTGACTGTTGTAAAGGAGCGCACACCAGACCTGACCAAGGTGTATTTCTACTACCTATCTACCTACCAACCTAACTACCTAACTACCTACCTACCTACCTACCTACCTACCTACCTACCTACCTACCTACCTAACTACTAACTAACTAACTAACTAACTAACTAACTAACTAACTAACTAACTAACTACTAACTAACTAACTAACTAACTAACTAACTAACTAACTAACTAACTAACTAACTAACTAACTAACTAACTAACTAACTAACTAACTAACTAACTAACTAACTAACTAACTAACTAACTAACTAACTAACTAACTAACTAACTAACTAACTAACTAACTAACTAACTAACTAACTAACTAACTAACTAACTAACTAACTAACTAACTAACTAACTAACTAACTAACTAACTAACTAACTAACTAACTAACTAACTAACTAACTAACTAACTAACTAACTAACTAACTACTAACTAACTAACTAACTAACTAACTAACTAACTAACTAACTAACTACTAACTAACTAACTAACTAACTAACTAACTAACTAACTAACTAACTAACTAACTAACTAACTAACTAACTAACTAACTAACTAACTAACTAACTAACTAACTAACTAACTAACTAACTAACTAACTAACTAACTAACTAACTAACTAACTAACTAACTAACTAACTAACTAACTAACTAACTAACTAACTAACTAACTAACTAACTAACTAACTAACTAACTAACTAACTAACTAACTAACTACTAACTAACTAACTAACTAACTAACTAACTAACTAACTAACTAACTACTAACTAACTAACTAACTAACTAACTAACTAACTAACTACTAACTAACTAACTAACTAACTAACTAACTAACTAACTAACTAACTACTAACTAACTAACTAACTAACTAACTAACTAACTAACTAACTAACTAACTAACTAACTAACTAACTAACTAACTAACTACTAACTAACTAACTAACTAACTAACTAACTAACTAACTAACTAACTAACTAACTAACTAACTAACTACTAACTAACTAACTAACTAACTACTAACTAACAAACAAACTAACTAACTAACTAACTAACTAACTAACTAACTAACTAACTGAATGACTAAGAGTTTGAGTTTTGCTTTCGTCAGTTATAAACTTTACGGGCGGGTTCTCATATGGGGACTAAGATCAATATAATTTCTGGGTAAATATTGCTACTTGCTGAAATCGCTTACTAATTTCTCATTGAGGATCTAAAAGCCAATGTTTTTCTAAGCTTAATAATTTAATCAGTATTCAATTAGATTAAAATGCAATGGAATACAATATACAAGGAAAAATTAGAAGAACGGTTATAAACATCTACCTCAATAAGATAATATAATTATTTCTGAAACTTGTTCTATGGTACATTGTTCTGATTCTTAACTCTTTCTAAGAAGTTGGAAAATGATTGAAAAAGTTCTAGAAAAGTAAATGTGACATTGAAAAAGATGAGCTCTCTCACCGTGTTTTTTACAAATGTAATTCCGTAACTGAATGACTAAGAGTTTGATAGAGAATTTTTGCTTTCGTCAGTTATAAACTTTACGGGCGGGTTCTCATATGGGGACTAAGATCAATATAATTTCTGGGTAAATATTGCTACTTGCTGAAATCGCTTACTAATTTCTCATTGAGGATCTAAAAGCCAATGTTTTTCTAAGCTTAATAATTTAATCAGTATTCAATTAGATTAAAATGCAATGGAATACAATGTACAAGGAAAAATTAGAAGAACGGTTATAAACATCTACCTCAATAAGATAATATAATTATTTCTGAAACTTGTTCTATGGTACATTGTTCTGATTCTTAACTCTTTCTAAGAAGTTGGAAAATGATTGAAAAAGTTCTAGAAAAGTAAATGTGACATTGAAAAAGATGAGCTCTCTCACCGTGTTTTTTACAAATGTAATTTCGTAATCTGATTTATTTACATTCAAGTTCACAAAGCAAGCGAGAGTCTTAACCACTTCCATAACAAATTAAATTGTTATAAAATTTTATATCAATGTTAACACACAATAAATATTTATCTAGGACTATTCAGCTATTTTGATTTTCTACAAAATTCAAGGATTAATTTAATTATAACTAAAATAAACATTTTAATTAGACACGAAGTCCTTTGCTGCGTAAAATAAATAATTCAATGAAATTTTGGTAAAATAGGAAACACAATGGAAATACAAATACCCCATTTTCTTTTTGGAAACAACTATAAATCTAAACACAACTGTAAGTGTGTGCTGCTATATTTAAGGATAAAAGCAAAAAGAATTAAATTTTTTCATTCTGTCAACATGAACGTTTCGGTATTACAAGACGCATACTTACGGCGTCTGGAAACATTTACCCAACCGGAGGAAAGAAATTTTCTAGTGGCAAATGCTTTGCGGTTTATCATACAAAATGTTTTTGCCAAACATTCAAATTCATTCGTTTTTGCAATAGCAGCCGCTGGTGGACCATGGGAACTTTACCTTTATGACATCATGAATAAATTATTTTCCACTTGGGGATTTATGGCGGTACAGTTGTTAATACATGATCGCAAAACGGAACGTATAGAAGTATTGGGCAATTATTACAGTAATATGATTATGATTGATTCTTTTAAAAGTTTGGAGAATATTAATTTAGTGGAAAATAGACAGAATTATGACAATATAGAGTATTATTTTATTTTCCTACAAACCCATGATGAGCTTGCAGTCCAAGAAATGGAATTGATTTTTAGATATTGTTTTAATAATTACTGGATACATTGCAATGTTATGGTGCAAACGGAAAAGGGAGAAATATTAGTTTACACTTACTTTCCCTTTAAGGAAAATAACTGCTTTCAAACGCAACCGGAAATGATAAATCAATTTCAAGGAGACCACTTTGTAAGTGAGGATATATTTCCTGATAAATTAATTAATTTACAAGGATGTCCCATGAAAGTAACGACTTGGGATACACCTCCCTTTGTGGTAAATAAAACCAATAAAAGATATCCCAAATTAAAAGTAACAGGCGTGGAAGTGCTTATAGTTACTGCTATAAGCGAAACTATGAATTTTACTTTGGACATAGAATGGATTTCGTTCTACAAAAATCAATCACCAGATGCGGGTCTTTTAGAAAAGGTAAGTGAACTATTTATTTTTCTTAATATCTTACAAGAGACTTTTGTTATTTCAGTTACGACATCGTGAAACTAATATTACCATGGGTTTCTTTCGTCGTACCAATGTAAGAGACAAAATAGCCACGCCCAGTATTGTTACCTTCTACGTCCCCTTAAAAGCTTTAATATTACGCAAGTTAGCCTCACATGAATCCATGGATATATTAACATTTCCATTTGATGCCGAAACTTGGACTTTGATTATTGTGGTTTATGTTGTAATGGGAATTATTAACTCTGTGCGAACTAGAACAATTAAAGGAAGTATATTTCAAACTTATGAAATTATTATGGGCGTAACAACAAAGGATATCCCCAAAAGATCTTCAACAAGAATACGTTTTATGACAACAATTCTCAGTTCATTTATATTAAGATCCGTCTACCAATCCTTATTGTTTTTCGTATTTCGTTCCAATTTCTACCTGGCCACTCCTCAAAGCATAGAAGGTTTAGCTACCGAGGGCTACAAAGTTGTATCCACCGAACTAACAATGCAGTTTTTACTCTATGTACCTCAAATCGAAAATAAAACTTTACCCGTAATAGTGACAAATAGCTCTAGTGAAATGTCTCCCATGCGTTATGTGGAATATCGGCGAAATGAGAGTCTGGTTGCTATATCCATTATTGAATTCGCTTTGCGTTATGTTCGCGAGGAAATGACTTTTGGAACCGCTTTACGAGTTTTACCCATGAAAGTTAAAGATCAACAAATTGGTTTTTATTTGGCAAAACATTCATATTTAATCGATCGTTTTGATGATTATATCATGCGTTTACATCAATCTGGTCTAACAGACAAATGGCGTGAATGGGCCAATTTGGATTTTCAGGTTTCAAGGAAGCGTGTTAAACCCACTGCTTATGATAGTGCTTTAATGATTAATTTAAATCAATTTGCTGGTTTTCTAATGCTGATGATATTTTTGCATATATCTTCGATAGCACTTTTTGCACTGGAGTTGTTATCACAAAAGGTGAAATGGTTGAAAAGGTTCTTTTAATTTTATATAATACGAACTTTTAATAAAAAAATAAATTTGCACGTGTTTGAATAGAAATTGAGTTTAAATTTACAAACAGATGGTTTTTGAATAGAATTTCTCAAAAAAAAAACTTTTATAAAAAATGAAAAGAGAATTTATCGAAAATTTACTATTAAAAAAGAATTTATCGAAAATTTTCTATTAAAAGAGAATTGATCGAAAATTTTCTATGAAAAGAAAATTTATCGAACATTTTCTATGA